TTAGCTTAAACTTTTCGAACCTGGAGTCCACGGACGTATGAATACGCCACTGTCGTGATCATAGACAACTATCTCTCTCAACCCTGACCAGTAGGTTTCCACTCTGGCCTTGGAAGAGAATATATGCATTATGTTTAAGACTCGTCCTAATTCACAAATCGCCCATAGGTAGGTTTCCACTCCTTTGTTTGTTTTGCTCTCCCAAACTAGATCTGATACCTGATGAACACTTTCGTGTCACCAAGAATCTGGATCAGATTGTAGTTCATGAAGCTACTCTCATGCAGTAAAAACGAATTCAGAAGAAAAAGTTCTAAGATTCAGCTCAAAAGCCAATGGAATCCTCACCGAACATATATATCCCCATCGAAAATCCCTTAATCCCAACAATAAAACTACTCAGACATAATGAACGAAATCAAAGACATAATATTAAGAAGTATAATAGAAACCGAAATTGAAAAAAAAAGAACAAGGGTTCAAGAGAACAAATCTCTCTCTCCCTAAAAGCTAAATCAAAAACAATAAGAATATGAAGTAAATATTTCAGTGGTGATAGGTTACACGATTTAGGGTTCCTAAGACATGTATTTATAGTGCTCAAGACCTCTCTGGACGTCACTTAGGGTTTCTCCAAATGTGGGCTTCAGAAATGGGCTTTTTGGGCTCGGAGGTTGAAGGCCGCGGTCGGGACAAGTGTGACCGCAGTGGATGAGTGGTTTGCCGCGGTCGGGATGCTCCTGACCGCGGGAAAATGCTTGTTGGCCGCGGGTGGAAGTGCTGGCCAGCTGGTTTACGGAACATCTTGCTCTTCGCGTATCTTTTGATTGAACCGTTGGATTGCCAAGCTGTAAAGTGCACTGGAAAGCTGATACTTCCATCTTTAAGGTCTCCAAATTTGAGCTGGATCAGACGGTGAGAAGACCTTCAATCAGGGGTGAACTTCTGACGGTTTGACTCTGAGCTGAAATCTGGTTTTCTATCCATTTTGTTAAGCTTTTCCCTAAGTTTCCTGAAAAGAGTCTTGGAACTACAAATACTAGAAAAACGTGATAAAAGTACTTAAAAGCAATTAAAAACATAGAAAAAGTATTTCAAAACGATCCATAAAAGTGGTCAAAATACGGTGTTATCAGGAAGATTAATTGATTGTATAAAAGTAGCCCACTTCGGATAAATACCGTCGGTTAGATAGTATGGCAAACAGTACTCGTTACCGTTAACCCAATATCTCACTTTTGGGGCTTCACCATGCAATATGTCATCAAAAACGGGAGAACGATCAAGAACGTTAATATCATTTAATGTACCTGGAGATCCAAAAAATGCATGCCATATCCAAAGATCTTGTGATGCTACAGCCTCTAAAACGATAGTCGGCTTTCCTGATCCGCGTGTATATTGTCCTTTCCAAGCTGTTGGGCAATTCTTCCATTCCCAATGCATGCAATCAATGCTTCCTATCATCCCGGGGAAGCCCCGTTCTTCGCCAAGGTCCAATAAGCGTTGGAGATCATCAGGTGTGGGTCTTCTTAGATACTCATCTCCGAACAAAGATATTATTCCCTCAGTGAAATTTTCCAAACATAACAAGGCCGTACTAGCACCAAGTCGGAGATATTCGTCAACTGCATCAGCTGCTGTGCCATATGCCATCATACGAATGGCTGCCGTACATTTTTGTAGAGCGGAGAGACCTAATCTGCTGGTAGCATTTCTTCTTTGTTGAAAATATGGAACTTCATTGGATAGGCGGTAAACAATACGGAGGAATAAATCCTTGTTCATACGAAAACGGCGTCGGAATGTATGTGGAGGATAGGTTGCATCATCATTGAAGTAATCTTTCCATAAGCGGATGTGGCCTTCTTCCCGCTTTCTTTTAATGAATTTTTTTTTTTCTTTTGCTTTTTTTGTGCAAGCTGATTTAACATAGAATCAAACTTGTCATCAAATTTCTGATCGAACATGTCATCAAATGCATCATCTTCAGCATCATCGACTGAATCTTCATACACATCCTCTAAACGATTGCTTGAAGATGCCATAGTGTTTAGGTGTTAAAATGTTTGTAATGAAAGAGAGAGAGATGTGTAGAATTTGTTGAGAAATTTGGGTAAAAAGTTTCAACCGATGCCTTGAAGATTTTGATAATAAAAGAGAGAGAGAGAGGGGGAGATGTGTACAATTTGATAATGAAGATTTTTTGCAAACGATTGCTTGAGACTTGTGATAATGAAAAAAGTCTTTGAGAGCATATAAATACAGGAGGAGTGGCAATAATAAGATAGTGGGAAACATAAGGTCTAAATTACAACAGAAAATATGTGGATAGTAGAGAATACAACAAAATCATATGGCCCTCAAAATTTGTTGCATATGGTCACGGAAGTGTCAGCCATAAACCTGCCCAAAAAAAAACCGTGAAGGTCAGAACAATTATATATGAGTAAGTCAGACAAGTAAATGGAACATCAAAACAACACACAACCAATCAAAATAACAAGGTCATAAATAAAGCAATCAAAATAACCCAAAGCAAAACATGATTCATAACCGATAACAAAACAAAATAAATAAAGCAATCAAAACCATATGGCCAATGACAAAAAACAAAACAAAATGACAAAGTGCACCCAAAAAATTACTTTATGTCATACCTAAAGATCATATATAGCTCTAATTAACTTGGTTTTGAGTGCCATATCTATCTCATTAAGTGGTTCAGGTTTAGCTAAAAGGCTCTCAAGTATCCTCTTGTCTCTAATCTTATCTTTGAGCTCTATATCCCTTTGTTTCATTTCCCACATGGAAGAAAACTCCTTCATGTCCTTGTTGTCGCTTGCTGATTTTTTCGCACTGGCCTTAGAAGCTTTCACTCCAGGCGGACGAGCCTCGACCTCTTCGTCGTTCTCGCTTGCAGGCATGGAGGTTGTAGACTGAGCTGAGTCTGCCACCTTTCTTCTTTTTGATGACGCACCGTCCGGAGCTTTGCCACTCGTGCACCATTTTTGGTCGTGCCTCAACTCTCTCCATGCATGTTCCAGGCCAAATTTGATGCCGTAGTCATTGAAGAAGATCTCATGTGCGAGCTTCATCACGTCGTTTTCATTCTGACCCGATGATTTCTCCTTTTGTGCAGCAGCGTATGAGCCCACAAATTTGCAGACTTGATCATTTAACCTTCCCCACCGTTGCTTGCATTGAGTCCACTCTCTCCTTGGCAGTCCCTCTAAATCTTGGCTAGCGTTGTAATAACCCTGAATCCGCCTCCAGAACGACCCTAAACGCTGTTCATTCCCAACTATTGGGTCCTTGCTGGTGTTGAGCCAGGCACTAATGAGAACCAAGTCTTCTTTCGGCGACCATATTTTTCTCTTCAATGCATTCTCCGTTGGCTCTTCTGTGCTTTGCGTACTAAACGAAGGCATTTCCGATGATCCTAAGTCTATGCACGGTGAGTAACCCTTCACACGGTGTAACAGAGTTCTGGGAATCCATAGAAAGAGTGAAAGAGTTGATGGTTGGGAGTTGAGATAGCGAATGAAGAAGGTAGTGAAAGAGTTTGAAAAAAAGAGAGTGAATGAAGTAGATTGAAGAGTGTGAGTTCAGGCAGTAACTTAAATGACTGAAAAAGTTACACGAAAAAGAGAATGAATGAAGTAGAGAGAAGAGAGTGAGTTGAATGTCTTAAGTAAAAGGTATTTAAGTTTTAAATATGGTTGAGGATCTTTAATTTTATGGTTGACTGTCTTATCATTGTGTCTTAATGTCCTGAGTGTCTTTTTCGAGCAAATTTAGATATCAATTAACACACGAACCCTAAACCCTAAAATGTCATATCAAGCATAGATAACCAGTCCTAAAGCTAACATCATAAAGCCATTTACCAACTACATTAAAGACGACCAGGCAAGTTTCAAGGGAACTAACCTTTACTCGGTGATGAATATGCCTTGAACTGAACCATGTTTCCGTGGAGTCCATTAAAAATTACCCTCAAACAAATTAAAAAATACCCATTAGACAACTACATTGATTGAGCCGACCTAAACATCAAACACTAACCAACTACAGTACTTGAGACATTTCTAAACCCTAAACGTATAGGCAATAGCTGCGATCACAGAAAAGAAAAAAAGGATCAGGAAACTATCACCTTGAGTACTAAGCTGCTCCTTCAAACGCATGACTTCTCCCTTAAGCGTTGATATCTCTTCACGGATTTCTCCCTGAATCGTTGATAGCTCTTCATGGATTTGTCCTATGGCTGGATCCAGAACGTTGCTTCTACTCCGATCAACGCTGAGGATCAGGTCCTTTTGCTGCTCTATCCTGCTCGCGAGGATCTCAAACTGTTCGGTGACTCTGTCATCCCACCATTGGTGGATGTGATCAAACGTTCCCTACATTCATGACAAACCGTTAGCAAGAACTTAAAGTACACATTACAAACCGAATGATCTTTTAACAAACCAATACAAACTTAATGAATACCTCGTTGACCCATTCCGGGCAGGCATAGTACCTGCGACCAGCTGCGTTTGCTTTCAACTTCACAACCCGCCCACAGAAGCACTTCTCCGGTATGCCGTATGTGGCATCCGCGTAAGCCCAGTACGGGATTTCCTCAGATGATTCGCTGCTATAGTTTGGCATTATCTGTAACAAAAAAATAACGACCACTTTACAATCGATATTGTGGAATAACTAACTGAAAAAGGCAATGTCAAGTGAAAACAATTAACCGAAAGACAGTATAACATGAATTCGTATTCGAAAGCAAGTGAAAACGGTTTACTTTCATTGTATTACACCCCAATTACAACCCCAAATGAAAGCCCCAAAATTTTTCCCCTTTTCATATGAACCCTTATTTCACCGATTTCAATTTCCATTCAAATCTCCCAAAATATTAACTTCAATTCGTTTTCGTGTTTCAATGAGGTGAAATGACTCGAAATCGACACTAATAACCCAACCTAAACCACCGATTACAGACTTCAAATTTTTCGCCACGAAAACCAAAACCCTAATTTCCCTATATCGAATGAAATCGGGCAAAAGGAAGAGAAGAAACGCTTACTTCGGCAATAATCACGGAAGCCCGACCCTCGGTTGTCCACTACACCGGCAAAAGTCGACGGTTTCGACGGATTTGACGGAGGCGACGAGAATCGCCGTAGGAGAGGAAGAGAAAAAAGAAAAAAAACTCGCGAAGGAGAAATGAAATTTTGGGCAAAAATTTTTTCTCTTCCCCAAAATTGATGCGAAAATTCCTCCTCTCACGCTTCGTCACATGTCTGGAATGCGGGTTCATCAACCTCTTCCGGACAGACCGATCCGTCGATTTTGGGCTTTTTTTCTTTTTTTTAAATCCATTTCGCCTATGAACTCGAGCCAAATCCGTCCAACGGACCACTACTGGACCTGGTCTAAGCTCTTCCCAACATGCTGGTGGCATTGGCGTATTTGTACAAGTGGGTTGTTGATAACGACAACCTCTAAGTACACCATTAGCAGCTTTTCTTACCAAAGGATCCTTGTTCGTAAGGAATTTGCACATACAGTGTATTGTGTTTTTAAATTTCTCACAACATGACCCTCCGTTTTTAGGCTCCCCCTCGCCTTTGTATATATGCCTAGTGATGCAATCTCTAACCTCCACTTTGCATTCTTTTGGTATCTCCTCCATCTTTGGAAGCTCCTCCTTAGGCTCAGGCTTGTCGGGTATTACTTTACCCATTACATAGCCTGTGCCAATTCCACCAGCCATATAGTCGCCACGCCACGGCTACCGCCACCCCCACCGCCACGGCGCCTGCCGGTGACGGGTATGATGATGACAATGAGCATCAATGCAATGATCTTCATTTTTAATGAATTAGTAGCTATTTAATTTGTAGAAATTATCTCTGCTTATATTTTATTTTGTTTTTAGGTCTTTAAATAGGAGATTGCAACCTATGGTTCATAAAAAAGACATGGAAATATGAAAAGTGGGAATCGATTCCTATAAAGAAGGGAGGATTTGATTCTTGGAAAAAAACAAAAAAAAAGGGACGATCGTAATTCACTATATTTGATAGCTTCTTCCTAATTAGTCCTCTTTATGTGGAGATTGAGTTGTTGATTTAGAGGTTGTCCACGAAACGAACCTAAAGTTTTCGATGGTATGATTATTTCATGAACTTGTTTCAATGAAACGTTCATAATCTGAATATTAACAAAGTTAGATCGAAGAGAAGGAGCAAGAGTGTTTCCCTGCATTTTAGGCTCATCAATTTTCCTTCAAAACCTCATTCTCTCATCCATTGTGATAGCCTTGAGACTATATAAGGTTATACATTTGAATGATGGGCTTTGCATAAGGTTTAGGTAAAAGTTACGCTTCAAAACTAAATGAGCTGTATTTGTTTTGGCTTACAGTTCTCTAATTTACACTTAATAAATAAAATGATTCATTGCAAAAAAAATAGCACAACAACAAAAAAACACATACAAAAAAGACATGTGATATCCTCAACTTAATCTAATCTGGTTCTTTGACCCAAAAGAAAAAAAGTCTAATCTGGTTCAGAAAGTAAAATACACAAAACCCAAATTCCACACAAAACACTCTCCAAGAAATTAAAAAGAAATAATCTAAAGGAGGT